AAAATAATTGTGGTGATCTAAAGAGCAGAAACGGATTTAAAAATTGGGGTAAATTTACTTCATACATTCTAGTTTTAATACTGACAATTTCCTCCTGTTTGTTTACAGGATCTGTAAAGGAAGATGGCCGAAAGTTTCAAAGGAAAATTAAGATTCATTTCATTTATTTTCGTTAAAATTGTTTAATTATATTTTTATAGAATTAACTATAATACATGTTTATTATTTGATGATCATTTTTAAATAAATTTTAATTTGTCTTAATGATATTGTGGCTTACATTCTAAGCGAAAGCACATCGATGAGGCAGCCTAGGACACTTTTATGTTAAATCTAAGTGGAAGAATAAGTGAAAGCATCACCACTGACTGCCACGAAATATCACTTAGATAAGCGAGTACATAATGTGTATTTTTACCGCTGGGAAAGTATGAATTTTTTCCATTGCTACTGAGCCTCCTTTCACTTATTGGAGAGTAAGAGAAACTCATGCACAATAACACAAACACTACACTTTATTTAAGGTTTTGTTGTTATTTTTTTTTTTGTTTTTTATACTTTTTGTTTTGCTACAATTTGTTATTGTTAATATTTGCATTAACAAAAACGACAATTTATTTGATTTTAATGTATTTTTAATATTAAAAATATATATAAGTATGTATTTAATTAGCGTCCATTCGCTGTTACTTATCTTTTTTATATTTTAATTAAGAATTTATGTCACAATGTTATTTTCTCGTGAGAGCGATTTAAAACACGTCTATCCACTATGAGATCAAACACTCTCATAAAGATACCTTTCAGAAACCTGGTATCACCCGACGTTTATGCAAAATAAGTCGCTGAAACTTGGGGCTATCAAGGCATGGACATGCCAATATCTTAGAACAAATAAGCATGAAACTACTACTTCACTATGTCATACCTGAGCCGGTATTCGATCCGGGCTTTGCAGTAAGCATTCCGGAGAGAATGAGCTACACTAAAGGCCAATACATAATGGATGATTCCATTAAAATATGCAGACAAACTGCATACGATCGCTAATAGAAGATGGGAGATTGAACCCACCTGCTTGGAAACCAGGAAAATCTGGCCTAGAATGGACACTACACGGACAAACCACGTCATAAAACTGTCAAGATCCAATCTCAGGAACCTAATTGCGGTTATAATAGGACATTGGCCGCTGGGCACTCATGCGCAGAGGCTAAAACTTCCTTCATACAATGATTTTTGTACCAGCTGCAATGACGAGGAGGAAAATGACAATACAGAACATTTTCTATGTCACTGCCCCGCTTTCGCCGATTTTAGGCAGGAAATGTTAAATTGACGTACAATCGAAGACAAAATCTGTCTGTCTGATGAACATCCGGCAAGGATTAATAACTTCATCTGCAAGACCAAAAAGCTGAAATAATTCAGCCCTCTTCAATAAGGACAATTGGTAGAGTGTTAATATCATGGTAACACAACGGGACCTATCTGGACCCAAGTGAGCTTTGCCTCGGGCGGCTGCCAAATTAACCTAATCTACCTTTCAGAAAAATATAAATTTGTTATATGCATGTGCACTGTTGGTGGTGTAGGGCATCAAAAATTTAAGAAAGTTATGAGCAGTTGGAATTATTACTTCATGAAAGTACATGTACATTAATATTTTTCTTAGCATATATGTAAATAGTTAAGTGATTTCGTCCCGATAAACGAAGTACTACGTCAAACACCTAAACTAAATCACAAAAACGTTTTTATGATTTATGATTTCTATACCCTTCACCACCATCAGTGGATAGAGGGTATATATAACTTTGTCATTCCAAGAAATACTCATCTGAGAATCAACAAAGTATATATATTCTTGGACCTTATGAAATTCTGAGTCGATCTAGCTATGTCCGTCTGTCTGTATAAAACATTCTCACGTTAACACGAAGCAACAAACAGTAACGAAATTCACAAAAATATTTATTATTGTCCTAAGCAGCTTGGTATTGAAAATGAGCAAAATCGGTTCACATCGGGAAAAGTTATGAATCAAAATTTAAAACAACTCCGAAAAAATAAGCATTTTTTTACACATTCTGATGTAATTTTCACGAAAACTATACTATATAATTGCATGAAAATCATCATACATTCGTTTCTACTTGACTACTGCTGAAAATTGGTGGAATCGGTTCACAATTTCATATACCTCCAATACAAAAGTACATATTCCCGGAAAATGAGTTTATTGTTAATAACTTCCGTCAGAATGTTGATAGCTTCACAAAATTTTACAAGTTAAAATCTTATATGAATAGTATTCATTCAGAGAAAAAATTTTCAGAATCGGTCCATAATTGGTCATAGCTCCCAGACGAGGTCCCCTCCCGAAAATCGCTTAAACGCACATAACTCATTACTAAATTAAGATATCCATATAAAATTTTGTACAAGTTTTGCTCTGATATTCAGAAATATTGCTTTGAATTTTTTCTGATCGGTAAATAATTGGTCATAGCTCCCATACAAGGTCCCCTCCCGAAAATCATTTAAACGCTCATAACTTATTACCAGGGAAACCGAAAATATGCTCTAAAAAAGTGTTTTAAGCGCTTAAAATATGCCGTAAAAAACTCAAAATATGCTTTTAAAATTTCCAAAAATAAAATTTTTAATTATTTCTTAACATTGAAAAGCTCAAAAAGACTGAAATTGTAATGAAATAATAAATGTTTAATGTCATACTTCATCCTACAAGATTTTTTATAATTGATTCATCTCATAGTTTGATGAACTAGTTTAATAGAATTCAGTTTTACGTTCAGATAACCAATAAATAACATGACGCCATTTGGTCCCCAAAAAAACATATTTCAAACGACAAAGTTTGACACATTTCTTCCAATTGTATTCATAGCTTCTAAAGTGACATTTTAATCGGTGTTGTCATAAAATCCAATGATTATCAATACTGATTTTTTAACGATAAAAATTTATTGGTCTCATGAAATCCAAAGTAACCGGTTTTATTTCCGATTTAAAATTTAATGCTAAAAACTATAACATTGGTTTTCATAAGACTAATATATTTTTTACAACCGAAAATTATTTTTTCAAAATTGTAAAATAGGTTAAGAAATTAAAAAAAAAAAACTAAATTATTTTAAATAAACAATTTTTGAAAAGAAATTAAAAAAACTAAATTATTTTAAATAAAAAATTTTGAAAAGAAAATTAAAAATGAAAAAAAGCGAAAAACATCAAAATATGCATTAAAAGAGTAAAATATGCTCTAAAAACTCGAAAATATGACTTAAATATGCTACAAAAGTCAAATCATGCAATATTATGCTCTTACGGGTAAAAATATGCAAAAATATGCTCTAACAAATCGATGCCAAAATTCTTAAATTGGACTGAAACGTGTAAATATCTTATCCATGAGTCTATACGACGCACCACAAAAAACATGCATTTACATATTTTTGTTTCTCTGCTTATTACTAAATTAAGATATAAATATAAAATTTGGTACAAGTATTGCTCTTATATACATTAATGTTACTGTGAATTTTATTTTCCGATCGGTCCATAATTGGTCATAGCTCCCATACAAGGTCCCCTCCCGAAAATCACTTATACGCAAATAACTCATTACTAAATTAAGATATTCATATAAAATGTGGTACAAGTATTGCTCTTATATACAGAAATATTACTGAAAAATATGTTTCCGATCGGTCCTCAATTGGTCATAGCTCCCATACAAAGTTCCCTCGCGAAAATCATTTAAACGCTCATTACTAAATTAAGATATTCATATAAAATTTGATACAAGTATTGCTCTTATCTACGGAAATGTTACTCATTACTAAATTCCTAAATCCATATAAAATTTGGTACAAGTGAATTGTTTTCCGATTGGTCTATAATAGGTCATATCTCCCATACTAGGTCCTGCCCCGAAAATCACTTTAACCGTAGTTAACTAGTTGCATTAGTGTGGGAGAGAAACAGAAATATCAATCATCTCTTTCTCTCACACACGAAATCAAAAGTTTCCCAAAAAACGTTTTCCTGTGTGAACCGGCACTTATCAATTTGTGTAGAACCATATTATATATATTTTGAATTTCCTTAAATCTTTTACACACATGCATACATGCAAATTATTAAATATCGCTAAAGCATATCTTAGGGCGCTATAAAAATATAAAAGAAAATGGCGTTTGTTATGTTCAATTAATCTTGCAATTGTAACAGATTTAAGCTGTCTAACTCTTGGGGTTTTTCTATTTAAGACATGAGAAAACTTATTTCTACAAATATTTGATCAACTAAAACAGTATTAATATAAAAGTAGCTGGTGGAGGGTATTTAAGATTCGGCTCAGCCGAATATAGCACTTTAACTTGTTTATAATTAACAAAACTTTTTAATTATTTCCCATTTCACTAAAAAATTATAAGCTAAATACTTTTTGTTTGGTACTCTTTTGTTTTTATTAATTAATTAAGCGCCAAAAGTCTGTAAACGGAACATTTAATCAACATTCAACTTTAGCAGTCTGACGTTAAATTATGGGTTGCCACCTGATTCTATTTTTATATGTATTAGTTTGTCATTCTTTGTATAACACCAATAAATAATCACCTGAGTCCCAACAAAGTATATATGTTCATATATTCCGGGTCGTAATGACATTCTGAGTCGATTTAACTATGTCTGTCTGACTCAAACAAAAACTCCGATCATTATGAAAATTTGTTTTGGGTTTGGTATAAGCCTTAGTGATGCTGTTGGTTTTTTAAATAATTCTAAATAGTAATATTAAATTTTCCTTTAGCAAATCAAATGAATTCCATAATTATGTTATTATATTAGTACACGATGAAATTCAATATAAATAACTTCTATATAAACATACATCCTTTCAATTGTTAATGCATTTTTAAAAACAAAAATTGTTTGATATTCAACTATGTTATTGACTTATGTATACGTACGTAAATTTTTTATCCGTATATCAGTATTTTATAGGTGTTTGGCAAATTACAAAAACAGATTCTTTTTATACTCTGAAGCACTTTTCAGAAAACTGGTATCACTTCCCTTGTATATATATTTGATGCAGAATGTTATAGTTCAAAATTTCTTTATTAATTTATATTTTAAATGTAACAATAAATGTAGTTTTATTTATAACATTGTACTACCAATTTATCAATATGATAAACAGTAGATATCTGTTAAAATAATTTTTTGAAAGTGTATATATTTTCAAACATTTATGTCTCACATTAACACAGATTTATTAATATGTAAATAAACATAACAGTTTTTTGTTTTTACGATACTTTTTAATTTTATTAGTTTAAAATAACTCTTCAAACTATCATCAATTTACCAAAACTTATTTTGGGTAAACAAAATTATTAAATCGAATCAAAACAAATTATTACATGAAATACTTAAGATAACATCTTACGTTCCTTCAGAATTTTTATTTCTTTTAAATAACTTTAACTTTTAATTACCTTTATGAAACTATTAAAATTTTTTCAATTATATTTTTAGTATAATATATATAAAACATCAAGGTAACGATGTTATATGGTGGAATTCTTCTCTATTGATTCATTTCAGTACGCAGAATCACAATGGAATAAGGGTGAATATGAATTTATTAGGTAAATACACAGTTTATATAAGGGATGAAGCGTAAAACAAATAGTGTAATATGGGTTTAAATATTTTAGAATTTTTTATTCTACAATTTAATTGTTAGAGGTTTTAATACCCTCCGCCAGCATCAGTGGTGATTGAGGGTATATATAAGTTTGTCATTCTGTGTGTAACAACAAGAAATATTAATCTGAGACCCAACAAAGTATATTTGTAAGAGCAAAATCAAATATTTTTAAGAATCGATGATACTGAATTAAAATGCCTCGTATTTTGTTAATCTTTTCAAATATGTAAATGTTTTGATACATTTCGGTATAATATACCAAAATATATAAATATATATCTGAACTTTATGAACATTTAAAATTTTAAAAATGAAAAAAATGCTTTGGAACTTACCAGAGCTTTTTCATTAATTTCAAAACTGTACTCTCTGTTGATAACTTAGAGAGCCATCCTTTATAAACAAGAGTCACAAGATTTTGGACATTTAAAAATTCTTATAATAATTTCAATAATATTTTTTGGTGCAAATGTATAAGGTTGTAAACAAATGTAACCAAAATTTTGTTTTTTTTTTTTATTTTTTTTTTGAGTTTTTTCAATAGTCCATGTGCGCGCATTAATCAAATTAAATTTAAGCAACGGTATTTACATTTTTAATTTAATTTATTTTCAAAATAAACCTAGCCTGTTGGCCATAATCGGTTACAATTTTCTACTTAAAAGGTATTTAATAGGTGTAGTAGTTTTATGCAACTAAAGGTATACCTTGTTGATAGATCTATGGATCTAACTAGCTATTTACGAATGCAGTTGTAATATCGTGTAAATTTAATGTCATTATAATAAACATCTCCGAGTCAAATGCGCATTAAAACAAGTAAGAAAGTATAGTCGGGCGTGACCGACCATGTGATACCCTACACCAGTTATGAATATTAAATGTGATCTATTTTTCATAATAAAGCATTTATCTGGAATATTACCTTGATTCCGATTTATTTAAGCAATTTATTGACGAAAAACTAATTTTCTGAAAGAGGCTTTATATGGGGGGTAGGAGCAAATGTGAACCGATCCCGATAAAATGGACTGGATAGATTTATATTTATATAATAATTGTCTGTGATAAATTTCATTGCAATAACAGTGTTAATAAGTGAATTGCGGATATTCAAGTCATTTTCCGAAGGGGGCTTTTTATGGGGGCTAGGGTCAAATGAAGTCCGATCATTTAGAAATTCGGCAAGGTCATCAAGGCTTGTATAAAACTTAGTTGTGCGAACTTTTATCGAGATACATTTATATTATACAGAATTATGAGCTCAAAAGCCCTTTTCGGGGGGTTCAGTTGTATGGGGGCTAGGTGAAATAATGGACCGATTTTAACCATCAACTCAGAAAGTGATTCTGAGTCGATCGGTATACTTAAAGGTGGGTATAGTACTAATATTTTAGTGCGTTACAAACATCAGCACAAACGCATAATACCCTTCCCACTATAGTGGTGTAGGGTATAATGACTTTACCGCTCATAACTGCCTAAAAGAAGCATCTATAGCGATGTAATTCGACATGAACGTATTTTACAGGAACCTAAATCGCTTTGTAAAATTTTATAAGGATCGGTTCATAATTGATCCTACCCCCCATATAAGGTCCCATTCAGAAAATGGCTTTGACGCTCATTACTGCCTAAACTAAAATCGTTCTAGAAAATTTGATGACGATCGGTCCATAATTGACAAAAAAAGCAATTTATTGGCGAAAAACTTGTTTTCTAAAAGAGGCTTTATATGGGGGATAGGAGCATATGTGGACCGATCCCGATAAAATGGGCTGGATAGATTTGTATTTATATAATATATATAATATTTGTCTGTGCTAAATTTCATTGCAATAACAGTGCTAATAAATGAATTGCGGATATTCAAGTCACTTTCTGAAGGGGGGCTTTGTGTGCGAGCTAGGGTCAAATGAAGTCCGATCATTTCGAAATTCGGCAAGGCAAGGCTTGTATAAAACTTATTTTTGCGAACTTTCATCGAGATACATTTATATTATACATAATTATAACTTCAAAAGCCCTTTTGGGGGGATTCAGTTGTATGGGGGCTAGGTGAAATAATGCACCGATCTTAACCATTTTCAATAGGCTTCGTCCTTGTCAAAACAAACGTCCTTGTCAAAACAAACGTGTATTCCAAATTTCATCAAATTATCTTGAAAATTGCGACCTGTACATTGATAATAACGTTTACATGGACACACGGACGGTCGGACGGACGGACATCGTTAAATCGATAAGACTATACTATAAGACGGGATATAACCAAATTATATATTATTTTCATTAAATTATCTATAAATTTAAAATTAAATCAAAACAAACGTGTATTTCAAATTTCATCAAATTATCTTGAAAATTGCGACCTGTACATTGATAACAACGTTTACATGGACACACGGACGGTCGGACGGACGGACATCGTTAAATCGATAAGACTATACTATAAGACGGGATATAACCAAATTATATATTATTTTCATTAAATTATCTATAAATTTAAAATTAAATCAAAACAAACGTGTATTCCAAATTTCATCAAATTATCTTGAAAATTGCGACCTGTACATTGATAACAACGACTCAGAAAGTGATTCTGAGTCGATCGGTATACTTCAAGGTGGGTATAGTACTAATATTTTAATGCGTTACAAACATCAGCACAAACGCATAATACCCTATAAGACTATACTATAAGACGGGAAATAACCAAATTATATATTATTTTCATTAAATTATCTATAAATTTAAAATTATAGATAATTGTTTATTATTAATATATTTTTATATCCATTAATATAATAAATAATTGTTTAAATAAATTAATTACTAGACTATAGACTAGAATATAGACTAGACTCCGTGATGCCAAGTGTAGGGATTTTTCCCTTTTTGTAGGGATTTTTTTCAAAAATTTCACGTGTAGGGAAAAAGGGAAAGATTTCTTACTATTGTCAAATTGTAGGGATTTTTCAATTTCATAGTTTTTAACAACTAAAAATATACTCTTTCATGTATTAAACTTTTAAATTAAAAATTAAATCAGTTTTAAGTGTATCGTTAGTAAAAATTCCGCTTGTAATTTCTACAATATATGTACCTACATATCGCTATAAGACTGGCATAATCCAAAATTCGGCTTTCTTGAACTAAGGTCTTCAAAACATGCGACATACTAAAATCTTTCATATAGATTTATGAAATTTCAAATATGTCTATTATTTTCGATGTGAAATCGATTTTTTGTAAACGTAAAAACTAAAACCCACGTTTTTGTGAATATTAGACAACTAAAAATTTAATTTCAATTTAGATGAGAAACATATTAACCTCAACTATCTGAATCTGGATTTTTAAAACCCCTTGATTTGTTTAAAAGTTATTAAAAAAATAGTTAAATGTCATTAAATATTCATATCCATTTTTCTTGAAACGACTTTTTGGATTATGCCAATCCTGTAGGGCGATATATTCTGACTCCTTATAGATAGAGTAGTCGGGGGCTTAATGCAGTAACTCAGGATTGAAAAAATGAATTTAATTCGATTCGATATACTGCCATAAATCTTTCAATTGTTTTTTTTTTAATCTTAACTGAAGAGTCAGGGTTGGAAGATTTGTATGATGTAAAATTGACAAAAAAAAAATTTAAAATTTAAATTCTAGAAATTTCATTCCTAAAAATTAAAAAAAATACATACATACAAAAAATACATATATGTATATTATAAAACGGAGCTAAAATTTTAGTTTTTGATGTTATTTTTGTATTTTTTTAAGATAAACTTTGAAAAAAATGGAAAAAAGTAGTGTAGGGAAAAATGTAGGGAAAATAAAAAGTGGGTGTAGGGAAAAAAGGGATTTTTTCTCATAAGTGTAGGGATTTCTGAAAAAAATCTCCTGGCATCACTGACTAGACTACACCATTTTTAACTGAATTTGGAAAAATTCCACATGAAATTGAGAATTTCCATTTAATATTGAGAAAATTCTAATTGAAATTATGATTTTCAATTTGATATTGAGAATATTTCAACTGAAATTACGATTTTCAATTTCAAATTGAGAAAATTCCGACTAAAATTGAAAATTTTTATTCAAAATTGGGAAAAATCTATATGAAATTGAGAATTTCAAATTGATGTTGAGAAAATTCCAAATAAATTAAGAATTTCCGTTTTATATTCAGAAAATTCCAATTGAAATTAAGATTTTCAATTTCAAATTGAGAATATTCCAACTTATAATGCGAATTTCCATATAATATTTAGAAAAGTTCAATTGAAATTGAGAAAATTTTAAATGAAATTAAGAAAATTTCAAATGAAATTGAGAACCTTTTATTTATATAACACATTTTAAATATAAAAAACAAATAATAAAGAAATTCCAATGTTAATCCACCGGTTGTCGAGGAACTATGGCTGGTTTATCATGAATACTATATAGGAATACCACTCAAGCGATTGTGTTGGTAGTCTGAATACGTCAAATTAAAAAAAATTTAAAATATGGTCTGAATTTCCCGCTAATTAGGTTAAAAGTTCAGATCCCAGTATAAAGTATAAAAAGTTTAGCAGAATTTTTCGAAATGATTGACAATCATGTTCAAATTTTAAGTTTTCACGGGACATTCATGTATTGCACTACATATATATGTACATATATACATATATATTTGCAAATTAACAATTTTTCAAAATCATTTGTAATTTTCTCAATTTCATTTGAAAGTTTCCCAAATTCAATTGGAATTTTCTCAATTTCAATTGTATTTTTCTAAATTTCAAATGGAAATTCGCATTTTCATTTATAATATTCTCAATTTGATACTGAAAACCTCAAAGACTATAGACTAGAC